CTCGTCTTCGGTTTAACATTTTCTGTTTGATCAGTTTCCCTAAAAAATTAACATTATTTAAATTGCACCATCATGCAGGCATATTAAATTCAATTTTGAAAAATTTTTTTAAAATCCACTCAGAGTCAGAAAAGAGCTCCTTTAAGCTTACTTATGATAAGAGTAACAAAGAAAACTCAAAAAGAAGAGCAATAAGGGGTAACGAGTTCTATCGGATGTTAAAAATATACATTTAAGCATCAATAATTAAAACACTATGGTACCACTATATGAATAAACAGGTAAATGAAACACAAAAGAAAACTGAGATGGCCCCAAAATATACATGATTTCCGTATACAGTATCCCAATAAGAAAAGCACAAATTAAGAGTAGAGAGAGACAGAGAGACAGATAGCACAAGGAAGCACAAAAGTGACAAGGCATTATGAATCACAGACTCTAAGTGGAATTATATAGATGTTCACTGTTCTACTCTTTTAACTTTTCTTTAGGTTAGAAAATATTAAAATAAAAAGCTGAAGGAAATAAAAGAATTGCATGCCCCTGCCAAAAAAAGGACAAGTGAGATGTAGATACTATACTGAGATGTTATTTTAAAATCTATCAAGACCAGCAAAATTTCAAGTTTGATAACACTGTTGATAAGGGAGACAGGTGCTTTGTTACACGGCTGGTGGAAATATAAACTAGTATAACGCCTATGGAAAGCATTTTGGCAATATCTATCAAAATCATAAATATGTAACTGTACACATATACACATACAGATACATATCCTTGGAACAAGCATTTTTACTTTTAAGAACTTACCCTACAAATATACTTGCATAGAGATGAAATGATAGAGGTGTAAGATTACAAGCATTGTTTGTAAAAACAACCTATATAGCCATTAATAGCGCACTGATAATATAAACTGTGATTCTTCCACACAACAGAATACCATGCAATTATAAAATGAATAAGATCTTTATGTAAAGATATGAAGATATAAGACCAAAAAAAATTGCAAAATTATAACTACCATTAGGTTTTTAAAAGAGTAAAATGTATAAAGAATATATATTTGTATTAGCTTTAATATACTTTTTAAAAATCTGAGAATATAAAAAATAACACTGGTTACTGGTTAGAGTGAATGGAGACATGGTAGGAGGAATACTTCACTCAATACCTTTTTATAGTTTTAGACACATGAACCATAATATATTGCCTATTCCAGAGATTAATTTAAATTTTTATTTAAAAAAATAAGGTTGATTCTTGATATGACTTTGCTTTACTGAAAATAAATAATTCATAAACTGAATAGTTTTTAAACCCAGATGAGAAGTTATGAGAGAGACAAAACGGAAGTCTGAAGTCTTGAGATTGCTCTTCAAAGAGAAATTCTTGTGGTACTTTTATTCTGTTTTTAGTGAAGGTATTAATTTAACCAGTATCTGCACACAAGAAAACATAAGAATCTCTTTAAAGTCATCAATATCAAAATCTACTACTTTGACAAGGGGCATGAAAAATAACTCAAACCAGTAAAAGTAAATCTCATAGCAAATATTTAGGCTTCTAAATTATTTTAGAATCTCATAAGTTATCACTTTGCTAAAACTCCTATCCCTATAATACATCAGATATGAAAGAGACTCACTCTGTAATGAAATATAAAGTGAAAAACATTGATGTCACACTCAGACTACACTACAATTATATATTAAATGGTCTACAGTTCCCTTCTTAATCCCTAAAGGAAGCAATGTTACCATTTCTTAAATGATAAGAAATTACTGAAATTTTGAAAATAAATTTTAAAATCCTACCATGTAAAATACTCACAGTGATTTAGTTTTTAAGTCAGTATTTCTTTCTTCTGTACAACTAGTCTCAGCATTATTCACCTCACACAATGATCTAATTCCAACTTCCAATGAATCCAAATCTAAAATGCTTGATTCTGAAGTCTCAGTTGCTACTGACATGGCATCATTTTGACTACTAAGAAAAC